ACTCATTCCTCTACGACGCGAATGATGAATATTTGCCGCGCAAAAATAAGGGCGACAGGGGAAGGAAATCGTGAAAAATGGCGACCGCCTCTGCGCCAGCGCGCTGCAAAGTGAAAATAACTTTCGCGCTGTTTTATTGTTTCCTTCTTTAATTTTTCTTACTTGCTCCCACCACTCCCTTTCTCCTTCTTTATATCTTTCTCTCTAATGTAGCTGAAGCATTAAATAGATATAGAGATAGAAAGAGGGGGTAGATTGAGATAGATAGATAGATAGATAGATAGATAGATAGATAGATAGATATTGATTGGACTGAAAAAAAAGAAATTAACAGACATAACTAGATAGATAGATAGATAGATAGATAGATAGATAGATAGATAGATTTGATTGGACTGAAAAAATAGATAGATAGAAAGATAGATAGATAGATAGATAGAGTTGATTGAACTGAAAAAATAGATAGATAGATAGATAGATTTGGAGAGAACGAAATAGCTCGCTAGATAGATATATAGGTAGGTTTTTAAAGCATTTCACCCCATGCAAGCATTTCACCCCATGCAAGGCGGGAGTGCCACTGATTCAAAAAATCAGAGGTTTACATGGAGAGAGCGAACGTGATATAATAAAAAAATCTGTTTAGTCGGTATGAGAAAAGAATAAAACATGAACAGGTTTCAAAACATCAGAAGATGGCTAACAGAATGAGGTTGCATTCAAATTTTAGATTTGGAGATTTTAGTTATTAGGGAAAGCAAATAAGAGAAAGATTCACAGAGGTTTCCACTATCGAGAAGTTGCGAGAAAAGAAGCTGCTGGAACAGAAGTGGCTAGATAGATTCCAAATAGATTTTAGATAGATAGATAGATAAATATAGATAGATAGATAGATAACAGAAGTGGCAGATAGATGAAGATAGATAGATAGATAGATAGATAGATAGATAGATAGATAGATAGATAGATTTGAACAGAATGAGATAGATAGATAGATAGATAGATAGATAGATAGATAGATAGATAGATAGATTTGGAGAGAACGAAATAGCTCGCTAGATAGATATATAGGGAGGTTTTTTAAAGCATTTCACCCCATGCAAGGCGGGAGTGCCACTGATTCACAGAGGTTTACATGGAGAGAGCGAACGTGATATAATAAAAAAAATCTGTTTAGTCGGTATGAGAAAAGAATAAAACATGAACGGGTTTCAAAACATCAGAAGATGGCTATTGAGGTTGCATTCAAATTTTGAAGATTTTAGTTATCGGGGAAGCAAATAAGAGAAAGAGATTTCCACTATCGAGAAGTGCGAGAAAAGAAGCTGCTGGAACAGAAGTGGCAGATAGATAGATATAGATAGATAGATAGATAGATAGATAGATAGATAATGAACAGGCATAGATAGATAGATAGATAGATAGATAGATAGATAGATAGATAGATAGATAGATAGATTTGAACAGAATGAGATAGATAGATAGATAGATAGATAGATAGATAGATAGATTTGGAGAGAACGAAATAGCTCGCTAGATAGATATATAGGTAGGTTTTTTAAAGCATTTCACCCCATGCAAGGCGGGAGTGCCACTGATTCACAGAGGTTTACATGGAGAGAGCGAACGTGATATAATAAAAAAAATCTGTTTAGTCGGTATGAGAAAAGAATAAAACATGAACGGGTTTCAAAACATCAGAAGATGGCTATTGAGGTTGCATTCAAATTTTGAAGATTTTAGTTATCGGGGAAGCAAATAAGAGAAAGAGATTTCCACTATCGAGAAGTGCGAGAAAAGAAGCTGCTGGAACAGAAGTGGCAGATAGATAGATAGATAGATAGGTAGATAGATAGATAGATAGATAGATAGATAGATAGATAATGAACAGGCATAGATAGATAGATAGATAGATAGATAGATAGATAGATAGATAGATAGATAGATTTGAACAGAATGAGATAGATAGATAGATAGATAGATAGATAGATAGATGGATAGATAGATAGATAGATCTGGACAGAACGAGATAGATACAGGAATCGCTTAAGATACAGGTTCGATTCCTGTCGGAGGACGCATAATTTCTGTGAAATTTCTCAGACTTTCAGACCGGTAAATGTTGTTTATTATAAAAAGAGGTAACCAGGAATCAAGATCAGAGGAGATTGATTGATTAAGGTTGGTCTCGCAGAGAGCGAGTATATCAGGAGACTCATAAACGATGAACGATTCCACACTACAGAGGTTGGTCCGAATGCCACAGATGTTGGAAAAGGAAATGTTAAAGGGTTTAGGGGATTTTTTAAAGCTGGGTTAGGTTTACTTCTTTAATTATTTGTAGTCATGTTGGGTAATGTTGGTAATGAAATTGAGAAGGCCTAATTAATAGTAGCTGAAGTTCAGCCTGCAACATAATGTGGCCTTAGGGTTACCCACCGGATGTGCGTGCAGCGACACCCTTCCATGCGCGACATCGCACTACAAGCACACCGATATTATGCAACTGTTGTGTGTATATATATATATATATATATATATATATAATACATTCGGATTACTAACACAAAAATAGAGAATGTCTCATATCGAGAATATTTAACATTGAAAAACATAAGGAAAAAATTAATTATTTTTAATAATATGTGGAAATCTCCGCTTTTACCTGAAGACAGTCACGAGACCAGAAACACGTGTAGTAAAATTATGGAAAATAAAGCATAATATTTTTTTTCTAAAAAACACATTACAACCAAAAACGTTTGCGACACCTCTCTTCTCTTTTTTTTTAATATACATACTTTTCTCTCTCGTTGGAACTACTACAACCTCTTTCTTATATATATATATATATATATATATATATATATATATATATATATATTTATTTTATTAATGTAATTATTTATTATTTTGCTTCAATTCGATAAATTATAAGGAGGGACAGTGGATAGCGGCTCGAATTGAGGAATCGGCGAGCCGAGTTCGAATTCAGTCGAATCCATTACATTCACTTACGTGCTAATTCCTTGGTAAGGTATGAATCCTCTTCAGCTATGTGTAAATAGCAGGACAGACCGGGTTCTATATCCTTGTGTGGCAACTGGTACACCGCGGAAAGAAATGGCAACCTACTGCGGGGAAAAAATCTGCCTCGTCAGTCATGTATCGAAAGATATGTGATCGCCTAAGCGTGTATCAGCCATGGCACATAACTACATATTTATTTATTTAAAATAGAAAATTTTCTCCACAAAAGCAGCGATACCTAAGGCTCAAAATGAATTTAAAAAATGAAAAAAAAATTGCTTGAAGCTTTTATTTTAGTTTTAATTTAAAGCTAATCGATTAAATTTAATATTTCCAATAAGCAAAATACTTTATTCACTGTATTTCAAAAACTGATCTGATTTGAAGGAGTTTTTTGATGTTTTTTGTTTTTTTTTTTTTGCTAAAATAGCTGATTAACAGACTTTTTCGTCGTTTTTCATCTTAATGTAATTCCCTTTCTTAAAAAATCTTTTTAAAATAGCAGCTATATATATATATATATATATATATATATATATATATTAGAACGAATTTGTTCACTTACATCTAAATAACTTCACATCTCTCCTTCCGTAGAAAGAATTATCCTCCCGTAAGCTATCAAAACGTCACGAATGTCTTTCGTCACCTTGTCAAGTGACGCGAAAGGTCATGACTTGCTTTGTTTTATTTTCAAAATACGTCCTTTCGGCGCAGAAACTTAAGTTGAGCTTGGTTGAAAATATCTTAAATAAACATTATAATTTCTAATTTTCTTAAAATAAGTTTTGAAAATATTATAATTGATTTTTAAAAGAATTTCAAACTGTGATTTTCTTTTCTTTTTTATAAATGGGAAAAAATGGCAGTCAATATCGATCATCTGTCAATTTTACTGACTAAAAAAAACAAGATTTTTAACAAAAATTTTGGACATGCTAGGAACGATTAAAAAATGTAAAAAAAATACCCCCAAAATACTTTGATGTTTCCTCTTAATAACATAAATATTTAGATGATAAAGTTTTGTTTTCGTCAAGTTTGTCGTCTTTTTTTTCATCATGCTATACTCTTTTTAGCGATCTCATGAAGGTGCCTATATATATATATATATATATATATATATATATATATATATATATATATATATATATAATGTCATGTATGGTCACCAATACTTACAAAATTGGCACATTTATACATATACAAAAACTTTCTTTTTATATGTTGGTGTTTGGTGATTTGTATTAAGCTTTTTCATTTATGATTAGTAAATATAGTTTTCACTTAAAAATATCATCTAAAAGGCTGAATTTAATATAAAATTTTAAAAGATTTAAAACTTAATAAATTTTTCTAATTAAAATTTGTCAAAAAAATAAAAGAATTTTTGTAAAAGTTTATTTTTCATAGAATTTTTTTTATTCTTAAAATAATATTGTCCTTTATATGCCTTATTTATAAAAGCAATTAAACTTTTTTTTTTCTAATGAAATAATGTTATAGTTTTATTGCATTTTTTTTATTTTACGATTCAGAGAAGATTTTCGGTAAATGGTGTTTCTGTTTGACAAAAACAAATTGAAGATTAAAATTCACCAAGGAGGCCTGCTTGGCACTAATATAAATATGAAAAGGGTGGAATTTTAATTTCTCGAAATTACATAAAATTAAATAAGTGGAGGTAACAGATGGAAAAAGAATATAAATTTTTTTACCAAGATTTTCTAAAAAAAAACAACTTTCAAAAATGATTTTATTCATTTGTGAATACGTCCTAAAATTTCATTAAAATCCAACAATTATTTGATTTTTGGAAGAATTTTCAACGCAATGTGTTTTTAACGCCAAAAAAAAGACGTTAAAAATTACTCTACAAACCTTCAACCAATCCGCTGACGTAAGAAAAACAAAATTTTTAACCAGAATTTCGAACGTCATGGAAATGATTAAAAAATTTATAAATGATAATGCTTTCTTTCTTTCTTTCTTTCGTTCTTTCTTTCTTTCTTTCTTTCGTTCTTTCTTTCTTTCTTTCTGTCGTTCTTTCTTTCTTTCTTTCGTTCTTTCTTTCTTTCTTTCTTTCTTTCTGTCGTTCTTTCTTTCTTTCTTTCTTTCTTTCTTTCGTTCTTTCTTTCTCTCTTTCTTTCTTTCGTTCTTTCGTTCTTTCTTTCTTTCTTTCTTTCTTTCTGTCGTTCTTTCTTTCGTTCTTTCTTTCTTTCTTTCTTTCGTTCTTTTTTCGTTCTTTCTTTCTTTCTTTCTTTCTTTCTTTCGTTCTTCTTTCTTTCTGTTCTTTCTTTCTTTCTGTCGTTCTTTCTTTCTTTCTTTCTTTCGTTCTTTCTTTCTTTCTTTCTTTCTTTCTTTCTTTCGTTCTTTCTTTCATTCTTTCGTTCTTTCTTTCTTTCTTTCTTTCTTTCGTTCGTTTTCTTTCTTTCTTTCTTTATATTTTCCCAGTCTTTCTTTCGACTCTTTGCTCCCCCGTCTCTCTCTTTCGCTGTCTCTTACTCTTCCTTTCTCCCACGCTTTCTTTCCCTTTTCTCTCTCTCTCTCTCTCTCTCTCTCTCTCTGCTGACCTCTTTCTTATTTCTTTTTTCTCTCACTTCCTCTTTCCTTCTTTCATCATTTTTTCTCCTCCTTTTTTTCTGTCTCCTTACCCTCCTTCTCACTTTCGTGATTTCGCTCTAATTCCGCTACCCTTATTTCTCTCTTTCTTTCTCGCTTTCCCCCCCTCTCTCTCTCTCTCTCTCTCTCTCTCTCTCTCTCTCTCAATTAGTTTTTCTCTTACTGTCTTGCATTATTTCTACTCCCCAGATTTTCTCGAATTCATTCCCCTCCTTCCCTCTCAAGATCTTCATATTCCTCTTACTTACCCCCTCTCTTTTTCTTTCACTCACTCTTCGTGA